CCAGCAACAGCACCTGCTCCAGATGTGCAGGGAAACAGGGGGAACGGAGCCGGCAGCACGCTGGGGCTCGCTGTCCTGGGTCTGAGCCAAGCGGCTCTGCAAAGCTGTCAGACACTCCATCCCAGCTCACCCACCCCAGCCATGGGGACAAGCCCTACCAGCTCTGCTTCCTTCACCCCAGTTTCTGAGCAGCCCATGGCCAGGGAGGCTCCAGGCCAGCTCATCACCCTCCCAGGGGCAGAACTGGCCCCCCTGCTCATCAGTGCAGCAGCAGCCTCCAACCCAAATGGGACGCGGCTGCGATTTCCAGTGCCCAGGACAAACCCTGTTGTGGCAGAGGCTCAATACCTGCTTGGATGGCCGCGGCCTTAAGATTTTTTTTTTCGCTCTTCCCTCCACGGAGGCAGAGCATTTCCCAGCAGAGAAGGATGGATGGCACCAGTGGGCAGGGGGCTCCAGGCAGAACGTCTCCCCATTGGAGTAGGATGGATGGCACCAATGGGCAGGGGCAGGAAGCTCCAGCCAGGGCATCTCCCATCAGAGGAGGATGGATGGCACCAGCGGGCAGGGCTGGGTGAGGCGAAGGCAATCAGCTCTCAGGAAGAGGAGGGCTGGGCACTGCACACAGCCATTGAGCCTGGGACAATCGCAGGCAGGGAGTTCCCAAGGGGAAATCCAGGATGATGCTGACCACCATGCCGTCTGGCCGAGGACCCACTGGTGCAAGGCAGCTAGAATAAAGCCCTCTTCTTGGCACCCTCCACTGCAGCGCCATTTGCAAACCCAGTCCCTTTCCAGAGGCAAACTGGAAAGGACCTGTCCCCAAGCCTCCCCTGAGAGCAGAAAGCCTTGGGCTTTGATTGCAGAGGGGAGGTTTTGTTGAGAGGCACAGAGAGGGACGGACACGCTGGACCCCATCCTGCGCAGGGAGCCAACCTCCACCGCTGGGCTGGGACTGAGCCCCAGAGCAGCAGGAGGGATGGACGCCCTCCCCAGCCCCACACTGGCCACCGCTGCCAGGCTAACCCAGCTGGGAGCCAAAGCTCAGCCGAGGATGCCTTTTGCCCATGTGCCAGGGTGCGAGTGTTGCCTGAAGCCGGTGGGACCCAGCGCTGCCCGGCGAAGCTCCTGCTGGGAGGGGACGGATAACAAAGCACTTTGCTGGCTCAGCTGCAGCCGCTTCCTGCTTCAAGTAGGACAAACAGCCAGCCTAGCACAAAGCCTCGGCCTTCCCGGCCAGTGCCGCCAGCCATGCGGGCACCCCCTTCCTCCCCGCCAGCCCTCAGGCACCACCACGGCGTTGTTCCCATCCCTGCTGGTGCTGCTGCCAGCTGCACCCTGGCTTGCTGCCACGGGGGATCTGCCAGCACCGGACCACTGGAGCAATAACTGGTGCCACAGAGAGCCCTTCCTCGCCTGGGCTTGGAGCCACCGGGGGTCTCTTGCTACCCACCCACAGACCACGATCCCCAAAAAGGAGCCCCATGAGCCACAGGGCATAGGCTGCTTCTGTTCGCCCATCTCCTGCTGCCTGCCCTGCCCAGCTCTGCCTCATTGCCCACCTGCCCGGAGCACGGCAGACCCTCTGCCCGGGACGGTGCCTGTGAGGGCGATGCTGCATGTCAGGGTTTGGGAAGGAAGGCCAGAGGCAGGAGGAGGACGAGGGGGCTGTCTCCTGGGGCCGTCCATCACCAGCCCTGCCAGATGCAGAGACAGCCTGACACGGCACAGAGCCCTTTCTTAATCTCGCCTTCATTTTTCCCATGTCCTAAGCACAGCTGGTCCCAGCCCTCTTGCTCTCTAGGAATCCAGTTACTCATCCACAAGCCCAGGAAGCAGCTCATGGGAGACAAGAGGCCCAATCTTGGACACACAGGAGCAAGAGAGGTTGCTTGGAGCGGAGTCAAACCCCTTAATGTGGGTGAAACAACTCCCCGCGGCCAGGCAGCCCAGCACCAGCAGGTTTTGTGGTTACTGCTGGGTGACTAACACACGTTAGAGGTCTCAAAGCTCAGCAGAGCCTGGAGAGAACTTCACTGTGTGCCGGCACCTGCCCTCTGGATCATGCCACCACAGCTGCACCCGGGGCCGCGGTGACCTGATCACTCCTTGGGAGGTGTCCTGGCTCCCTTGACAGCAGTAAAACCACCCCGGAGAGCCACATTTCTCCGCGAGTGGGAGCTGCATCTCTCTAATCATTGCTGACATCAAGCCATACAGAACAACTTAAAAAAAAAAAAAAAAGAGGTTTAAAAATAAAGTGATGCAAAGCCCAGACAGGTCCTGAGATGGACGCTGTGCCAGCAGGGCTGCAGCTCCCATCCACAGCGGCATCTGGAGCCAGGGTGGAAGAGTTGGCCTCCCAGCACCCCAGAAACCCAAATCCCAGCAGGACCCCAGCGCTGACGCTCACCGTGCTGTGTGGTGCGCCTGCGGCGCCGGCGTGGCCAGGCAGCGCGGCTCTCCCCGTCGCCCGTGCCGCACCGCGGCAGAGCCATCTGATGGAGCGTGCGGCCGTCCAGGACGCCGCTGAGTGGGAGGTGGGTCACCCGCTGGAAGTCCCTGGAAAAGGAAGGGAGATGTCAGCACCCACACCCAGACCCCCCTGGGGGTTTCGGTTGTGTTTGTGCCGGGTGTTTGACCCGAGCCAGGGCTTTCACCCAGCGAGCTTCACGCCCCGCTGTCAGGAATGTATCCAGGTGATAAAACAAGAAGAATCTGCCTCTGCAACCACATCTGACCAGTGAGCCATCTCCTAGCAGGGCAGAAGTAGACAGAGGAGCCTAAAAAATGCCTTTTCCAAGTTTTTAACCCCAGTTGTTTGACTTTGCACTTGACTTTGCCCAGGGTGAGGCCAGGGATGCTCCCAGAGCTGATGTGATCTCAATAGAAGTCTGACCAGGGGCTGTCAGCCCAGCCCCCTGACATCTCCCAGCCGTCCCCAACCTCGGCCTTGCTGCAGATATTATTGTAAGGGGAGCATCAGGCCATAAAAGGCAAATAAAGCAGCACAGCGAGGCGCCGGGCTGCCAGAAGCCAGCAGCCAGCTGCGGGAGCTGGGCACGGACCGGCGTTTCCAAAAAGGACCAGTTGTGCTTTATCATCGGACCATGCAAAAGTGAGCCCCCGGCTGCAAAAAGACCCCCAAGTACCGGCAGCTTCCACGCAGCTGGAGTTGCTGCATTTCTGCTGCGGTTTTAAATAAAAGGCTCATACCTCACCGCCTCCATGAACTCAGCGGGGCTGTGCCTGCCGGCCCCCGGCTCATCGAAGTAGCCGTATTTCTCCAGGAACAGCTGCAAGGAGAGACATGGGAGAGGCACAGCTCAGAGCACGGGCAGGCATTTGCACGTGTTGGTAAGAAGGAGATGCGATGGGAAACAGCAGAAATGCCCAGGGTTTTTTTTTTCCTGAGACCTCTGCACCCCAAGCAGCTGCACCTCTTGCGCTCATAGGGGTTTATGTGTGTCTCCTCCCCATAATTTCTGATGGCTCTTGAGGTTTTGGCTGTGGCATGGTGGAGATATAGGAGGAAACATTGCTTTCACCAGATCAAAAAAAAAACCAACCCTGCTGCCGTGTCATCCACAGCCAGAGGCTACCAAAGCCACAGCTCTAAGCACCTCGGCTCAATGATTAAAATAAAGGCTAAAGCGCCGTGGCTGTGAGTAGGGTGGGGTGAGACGGGGTCAGGCTGCAGCCTTCCCCCAGCCCCACGCAGGATGTGCTGCTGCAAAGCGCAGACACTCCAGGGGCAATCTGCTCTGCCAAACCATTCTTCTTCTTATCGGCCATTTACATGGACGGAGATTGTCGCTCTGAACTTGCTCCAACACAGAAATTGCACATTAAAGAAAATAAACGGCTTCCCTCTGCCCAGCCCGCGCCCCCAGCTTTCGGAGAAGTTAATAGCCACAGTC